GGTCACAGATTCCCCGTCCGAGGTGTCGGTCTGCTCCTCCCGCCGCTCCCGGCTCCCGCTGCGGCTGTTGGAACTGGAGCGTAGCCCATCTTGAAGCCCTGCGGGGAGGGGCCGGTGACGCCAGTGCTGGCCCACTCTTCAGGGACTGAAGGACCCCCACCCCGGCCAGCCAGGTCTCCAGCCTACCCAACTTCTCTTGAGCCTCAGACCTCCCAGCTTCCTTCCCGGGCGGACCCTCCCGGGATGCTGGGGGGGGGGTAGTCACTCCGCCAGGGAACTTGGAGGATGGCGCCCCGTTGGAGCTAGGAGGGACCCCCCTCCCCCCACTCCTTCCCGAGGTGCAGGGGACTTGAGGCGGGGAATCCCCTCTGCGGTCTCCCACGCAGATCCTCACGGGCCTACCACCCCTCCCACGCCCCCCCCTTCCAGAGGTGCGGCGGGCACACCCCTCCTTCCAGAGGTGCGGGAGCCCGGGCCCCGCCCCCTCCTCCCGCACTGACCTCGCTTCCGCTCCCGCTTATCCTGCAACTGCTTCTTCTTCTGCTTCACGCTGAAGGGCTTCTTCCTCGGCATGGCCCGGACCAGTCAACCTGGCCCGCCCTCCGCCGAGCTCCCGCCGCCTCAACTGACTCCCCCCGGGGCAGCCCCCGCCGCAAGGGCCCGGGACCCTGGAGGAGGCGGAGCTAGGTGACGTCAGCGGGCGGGCCCGACCTAGGTGCGGCGGCTGCCTGAAAGCAAAAGGCGGACAGGGGTGGGGGTGGGAGGGGAACGGAGTCACTTCCCTCTAGGAACCGGGCGAGGGGGTGATGCGGAGGTGAGCTACCGGCACGGGAGAGCCAGTGGGACCGACAAGCGCGGCGGCTGAGGGGAAGGAGGCGCGCGTGGGAGGACCGGGCTAACTCCGTCACGGGCGCTACCAACTAGCGCCTGGAGGAGGGGGTGTGCGTGTCATCACTACCTTGCGCTCCCGGGGGAAGCTACCACTCACCTGGAGGGGGCGGAGCGGCGGAGGGCGGGTCCTACCACCTGGACCAGAGCGGGGCGTGGGCCCGCGGTCCAACCTCAGTGCCAAGCCCCAGCTGCCGGGCCCCGGGGGATGAAGCCGCTCTGCCTGGCTAGGCGGGGGGCACGATCACACGTCGGAAGAGTCCTGCGTGCCAACCTGCTGTGACCCGAATCCCTCGTGGGAACGACGGGAAGAACCGGTCTTACAGTAGCTCCTAAGTGCAAGCCCGCACGAGAAGAAAAACCCAGGCGGGACAAGGACTTTGGAGAGAGGTCAGAGGGCACCAAGTTGTGCCTGCAGCTGTTACCATAGTAACCAGGGGACCGGATGTGGCGATTTTAGGATGCGACAAGCCTTCTCGTCTCAGGCCTTCAGGCCCCTCGAAAAGCCCGTCGACTCTATGGCACGCCGTAAGTTGCGGGTTGTGGTGCTTTTCAGCATGAGGAGAAAAGCGGAGAAAAAATTAGCCACTTTTAGAAACGCAGCCAAGGGACGGCCCGAGGTTGCCGCCACGCCTGGCAGAGACCGGCGAAGGCAGTTTACATGAGAACGCGGCCGAAGCCAAGATTCCCCGCAGCCTTCCGGAAGTGGGACGGTGGGAGCCTCGGTCTCACGGACCCCCGCCCCCGGAAACGGAAACAGAATCCCAGTGTGCCCCTTCCCCACTGCCCTCCAAATCCCTCTGCAGCCATTGCCGCAGCCACGATGCCGAAACGAAAGAAGCAGAATCAGCAGCAGCAGCAGCCGCCGCCGCCCCAACAGCCTCCACTGTCTGAGCGGGATGAGACTGGAGATGAGGAAGATGAGAGTCCCATCGGTGAGGGGCTGGAGAATGGTGGGCACACGCTCGTCAGCCTGGTCAGGGCGAGGAGCGAGAAGCTGGTAGTGCGGGGAGAGGGGCTCAGGCGGAAGGAAGAGGGGCCCAGGCGCTGGGGCGAAGGTGGGAGAGGTCTGCTCCGGATGGAACCTTTCAATGAGTTCTCTGACTTAACCCTTCCACCTTATTCTAACCCCCAAAAACCTTTCTAGAGAAGGCGGAGGAGGTGAGGATAAAGAGCTCTTGTGCGCAGCCGCAGAATGGCAGGGGAGAGAGACTGTAAGGGATGTGACAGATTGTGATGGCTGGGATGACAATTTGTGACCATACTTCACTGCGAAGGTGGACGTGTAGACTTTTCAGAAGTAAGGAGAAAGGGGTGGGAGAGAGAGAGAGAGAAAGGCCAGCAGTTAAGGTATGGGATTGTGTTAATGGCATCATGAGGGGAAAGAAAGTTGTCAGTATCTTGTATTACCCCTTTGATGGAGTCTCCACTTTCTGGCAAGCCTGAAACAGCTTTGCAGTGGAAAGGGCGGAAAGAGGAAACGAAGACTTATAATAACGCTGAAAATATACTTGACTTCTGGTTGCATCTTAAAAATGAGTAACAGGGGCTGGGAAGGTGGCTCAGTGGTAGAGCGCTTGCCTTGCATGCCTGAGGCCCTGGGTTCGATTCCCAGCACCACATAAGCAAAAAGAAAAAAGCCGGAAGTGGCGCTGTAGCTCAAGTGGTAGAGCGCTAGCCTTGAGCTGAAGAGCTGAGGGACAGCGCCCAGGCCCAGAGTTCAGGCCCCACGACCGGACCCCCCCCCCCAAAAAAAAATGAGTAACAGAACAAAATAGCCTGAGAACAGGATTGTCACCTCCTTAGTCTATCCTAATGACCATACTTTTGTATCTGTTCTTAGGACCACCCAGCCTTCTGGGCCCTCCCCCCATGGCCAATGGAAAGCCTGGTGAACCCAAGTCAGGTGAGGAGTAAGGACTCTGAATTCTTGTTTTTTTTTTGTCCTAGAGGAGAGAGTAAAACCAATGGATATTTAAAAATCAGAAGGTTGGGGCTGGGAATGTGGCTTAGCTGTAAAGTGCGTGCCTAGCGTGTATGAAGCCCTGGATTCTGTTCCTCAGTACCACATAAACAGAAAAAGCCGGAAGTGGTACTGTGGCTTAAGTGGTAGAATGCTAGCCTTGAGCAAAAAAGTTCAGGGACAGTGACCAGGCCCCGAGTTCAAGCCTCAGAACTGGCCAAAAAACAAAAACAAACAAAAATCAAAAGGTTAGGCATTTGTACCTAAGTAAATGGAGAGAAATTGTATGTTGATAAGTTTGAAAACACAGTGTTACAAAATATTTCCCAAATTGTCCCATATGTTCAATGCATTCCCGATCAATCCCTGTAATGCTTGTGTGAAGAAAGTAAGCATTTTACCTCATTATATAGAAATGCAGAGGCTCTGGGTAGAGACTGGCAAGACATTCTTAAAAAGGGGAGGCTTTATTCTGAACATCAGGATGCTACAACACCACAGTAGTTATGACACTAGTTTGGACACATATAAATGTATAAGTCAGCTTATAGAGTCTAGTAAAAGGCCCACAGATGTAGTGACACTTGAATGTTGAAACAGAACTGAAGAAGTGGTCTTCTTTTCAATGAATGGTGCTGGACATTTTCGGAAAAAAAATGAAATTTGACCTCTTATTCTCATTGATAACATCAATTTCACACATGTAAAAAGCAGAAGAATCATTCTCTAAAAAGTATATAAAGAAATACACATGCTTACTCTAAAGTTAAAAGGAAGATTGATATATTGAACTGCATCAGATAGTATAAATTTATATTAGTCAGATAACACTAGAAAGTTTAACAGGAGCTGAGTGCCAGTGGCTCACACCTCACTCAACAGAGGATCATGGTTCAAATCCAGCTGGGGCAGGAAAGTCTGTAAAACTCTTGTTTCCTATTAACCACCAAAAAGCTAGAACTAGTGCTGTGGCTCAGGTGGTAGAGTGCTAGTCTTGAGCATAAAAGCACAGAAACAGCTCCTAGGCCCTGAGTTCAAACCCCAGGGCCAACACACATACACTCATAAAGAAATGAACAGGAAACATAGCATAGAAGATATTTACAATAACAATAAACAGGTTCATATCTAGAATTTTTTTTTTGGGTCAGTCATGGGGCTTGAACTCGTGGCCTTAGCATTGCCCCTCAGCTTAGGCATGAGCCCCTGGCGCCCGGTGTCATATCTAGAACTATATAAGGAGTTTCTTCAGGGTCAGGTTCCAGTGGCTCAAACTTATAATCCTAGCTACTTGGGAGGCTGAGATCTGCCTATCAAGGTATAAAAACATACATTTTTGAGAGACTTATTTCCAGTTAACCAGCAAAAAGATGGAAGTGGAGGTGTACGAACCTTGAGCAAAAAAAGCTCAAGGACCCTGAGTTCAAATCTCAGTACCAGCACCCAAATTTAGAAAATGAATAAAATAATTTCTCCAGACAACTCATTAAAAAGACTATGTAACCAGTATGTTAAACAGTTTGAAAATTTATCCAAAAAAGTGCTATATGATTCAACAGACCCCAGCTAGGTATATATCCAGAAGAAAATAAGATTTGCACACTCATTCATAGATAGCAGCACATTCACAATATTTAAGAGTTAGATAGAAGGAATCCAATGTCCATTGACAGAAGAATAGTTAAGCAAAATGTGTATACATTCAGCAGACTTGCTTGACCTTGTAAAGGAAGAAAAGTGCCCTTAGATTCTATATAACATAGATAAACCTTGAGTACATTATGCTAAGTGACATAAACTGAAATAATTGCTGTAAGTTCCCTTCACATAAACTGTCTAAAATCAAATACATAGCCAACCTCTGGTGGCTCACACCTATAGTCCTTAGCTACGCAGGAGGCTGAGATCTGAGGATTACAGTTCAGAGCTAGCTTGGGCAGGAAAGTCTGTGAGACTGTTACTGCCAATTAACCACCAGAACCTTAGAAGTGGTGCTATGGCTAGACATGGTAGAACTCTAGCCTTGAGTGAAAAAGGTCAGGGACAGCACTCAGGCCCTGAGTTCAAGCCCCATGATTGACCACCCCCTCCCCCAAAAAATAAAAGAGAGAAATAACAGAATGATGATTACTAGTGAAGAAAAGGAGGAAAGAGAGTTTAATGGTTACAGTGTTTCAGTTTTATAAAGTAAAGTTCAGGGAATATATTTCACAGCATGAATATACTTAACGCTTTGTGGACTTAAAACTGATTAAGTGAGGAGGAGGGGGAAGCAGTGGCTTTTGCCTATAATTCTAGCTACTCAGGAGGCTGATACTTGAGACTCACAGTTTGAAGCCACTTCAGGCAAGAAAGTCCATGAGATTGAGGGGGTTTTTGTTTTTTTTTTTTGGTCAGTCGTGGGGCCTGTCTGGGCCTAGACACTGTCTCTGAGCTCTTCAGCTCAAGGCTAGCACTCTACCATTTGAGCCACAGCACCACTTCCGGCTTTTTCTGTTTATGTGGTGTTGAGGAATTGAACCCAGGGCCTCATGTATGCAAGGCAAACACTATACCAATGAGCCACCTTCTAGCCCTCCATGAGATTCTTATCTCCATTTAACCACCAAAAGGCCAGAACTGGAAGCTCTGGCTCAAGTTTTGGAGTTCTATACGAGCTCAAGGAGAGTGCCTAGGCCCTAAGTTCAAGACCCAGAACAAAAGAAACAAGACCCCAAAAAAAAGAAACAAAAGAAAAAATCTGGCTAAATAGCAATTTTTTGGGGGAGGGGAGGTCCGGTTGTGGGGCCTGAACTCTGGGCCCGGGTGCTGTCCCTCAGCTCTTCAGCTCAAGGCTAGCACTCTACCACTTGACCCACAGCGCCACTTCCGGCTTTTTTCTTTTTGCTTATGTGGTGCTGAGGAATCGAACCCAGGGCCTCATGCATGCAAGGCAAGCGCTCTACCACTGAGCCACCTTCCCAGCCCTAAATGACAGATTTTTGTTTGTTTGTTTGTTTTTTTAACCACAAAAACAAAACCCACCACTCAAAATAATGACAAAGAAAAAGACAGGATAGCAAGTGTTGTTTAGCCAGGGAACAGCTGGCTAGGAGTATAAATTGGTTACAACTTTGAAACAAAACTTAACATTATTAAACTTGAACATACATGGACTCTTTTACCAAGGATTCCTAGACTACATATATACTCAAGAGAAATGCATTCATAAGTGTAATAAAAACATGTATAAAAATGTTCATAGCAGCATTTTTCCTTATAGCCCCAAACTGGAAACCACCCACATGTTCATCATCAGTAGAGTGGATAAATCAGTTGTTGCGTGTGCATGCAATGGGATACCACGCTGCAATGAAAATGAACGAACACTGCTACAGGCAACCTGAATGAATCTCGCAAACACGTTGAGCGAAAGGAGCCAAAGTTCAAAAACAGGCAAAGATTAATAATCTATGATGTTAGAAGACAGGATGATGGTTCTCTGTGGGGAGGAAGGAGGGGCACCTGGAATGGTCTTTTGAAGTACGGATAGGCTCTTATCTCTTCACCTAGGTGGTGGAAACACAAATGGTTATTTAGTGGTAATTAAGCACTTAAAATTGATGTGTCTTTATATGTTCTACTTCAATAAAGATGGGGGCAAATAAGGGCTTCTGTTTCAAGACTAGGTTGTCATGCTCATTTGGTGACTCTTCTGTGTCTTTCTCCAGCTCTTCACAGAGGCCCTCCAGGATCAAGGGGACCAATGATTCCACCACTGCTGAGCCTCCCTCCTCCTCCCCGGGGCAGAGGCCCAATTCGGGGAGGCCTAGGCCCCAGGTCTGGTCCATATGGTCGTGGATGGTGGGGAATTAATGCTGAACCTCCTTTTCCGGGGCCGGGCCATGGGGGTCCCTCCAGGGAAAGCTTTCACAAAGAGCAGAGAAACCCTCGAAGGCTCAAAAGCTGGTCTCTTATCAAGAATACCTGCCCACCTAAGGATGGCCCCCAGGTTATGGAAGGTGAGGTCCATGTTGTGATGCCTATACACATTTCATACCCATCACTCCCTTAGTGGCCTAATTCCCAGGATACCTGTGACCCTGAGCTGCAGTGCAAGGGATTGAACCTAAGGCTAATCTCCCAGCTATCTTATGAAGTAAGACAGCCCTGATTGTTTTTTCCCCCAGAAGAAAGAGTACTATTCCATAATACCTGGAGGTGTTAAAAATAAAGGTCAGTGTGCATTGTATTTAGTATGCCTGAAGCCAGAATACCTGGAAGTGGTAGGGGGTAGGAAATTGGACTTTTATTTCTGCTTTCCACTCCATTTCTGGTTTTTTTGTTACTCGGATTTTTAAACCACTCAATTATCACTTGTCCACAGACAAATCCAGCCGCCCTGTCTGCCGACACTTTTCCAAAAAGGGTCACTGTCGATATGAAGACCTCTGTGCCTTCTACCATCCAGGCGTCAATGGACCTCCTCTGTGAGACTGTGCCTTCCCATCCAGACTGGAAAGAGTCCTCTAACCTAGTGGCCATGTATTTCCCCGTGGCCTAGTGACAGCTACTCCGAGGCTCTTCCACCCAGCACCCTCAGTCAAGTGACCCATTCATCACCAGCGCACAGTGCGCACTGGCTCTGATACAGGCTCCAGAGACTCACCTTCAGGACCCCATCTTGTTCCCTTCACTCGGATCTTCTTCGCCAAGTGACTGCTTAACAGGAAACCTTTGGTGCTCTTTCTTGTGCATCTGTCCACCTGTTCCCCAGTATTGCCCTCGATTCCTGAGAGCCCTGGAGCAGTTTGCTATCCTTTCTAGCTGGTTGTCCTCTTTACGTGACACCCCAGTGTTTTCAGCTGCTTGGGAAACTTGCCAGGTTATCTGGCTGACACACAGTTACTTCCTGAACAGCCATCCCCCTACTTTTGGATTTTGTAGTTTCTCTGTCAGTAGCATGATCCCCACCACTATGGTCTGTGATCACTGTGCTTTGTGAAACTGTGCATCCCCCTGTAGCCTTTCTCAGTGTCCGTGGCATTTTTGTGACTTCCCAACACTAGAATAAGTTTTTTCTTAGTACCCTCTAGCCTTTCCCTATCTCCCAACATGGAAGAATTGTGAAACTTCCCCCAGCCTGGTCCTCCCCATTTTGGTGTTGGTTGTTCTGAGTCTGACATGGGCCAGTAATGTCTTGTAAGGCCTCAGACAACAAGCCTTCCTCTCCAGCCTATTTTAGTTAGGCTCTGTCATTGTGAGGCCACCAGCCCTTTCATTTGAATTCTGTGAATCTCTACCTGGCCTGTCTTTGGGTGGAACCTGTCCCCCTCTTCCCTCACATCCCTGGCACTGGTTGTTTTCTGTGAAAACGGCAGTGAACAGGTTCAGTTCTGAACTGGCCCTGAGGAAATGGGTCAGGAGCTGTGTAGGCAAGAGGGAAGGATGACTGCTGTTGGAGAACTGAGAATGATTTTTTTTTTCTTTTTAACATTTTTTATATTAGTAATAAACACAGTGGAAACAAGCATTTTCTTTAATCTCTGTATTCCAGCCCTCTGAAGGTGCAGATGTTTTTAGTTCATACACAATACTGATATAAAATATGATGCTTAAGTCCATTCCCATCTTGAGAGAATGAGTCAGGTCTCATTTGTCAATAGAGAAATGTGCTTAAGGCAGGCAGCAGTGGCTCATGCCTGTAACGTTAGCTACTCGGGAGGCTTAGATCTGAGGATCACAGTTCAAAGCCAGCATGGGCAGGAAAGGCCAAGAGACATCTCCAGTGAACCACCAGAAAAAGCTGGAAGTGGAGCTGTGAGTTGGATATGCAAGTTTTGATAATCATGGACATTTAGTTATCTTCATATTAAGCACCTGTCATCCCAGATTGTCAATTTTAAGTAGTCATAACAAAACCAGCTAGTTTTTTATTTTTAAGTAAAAAAGCCTGGGGTTTTAACTTGGGCTGGGCAGTGTCCCTGAACCTCTCTTTGCTCAAGGTTAGCACTCCCACTTGAGCCACAGCACCACTTCTGGCTTTTTCTAAAGACAATATTGGAGATAAAGAGTCACAAGGTTTCCTGCTGGGGCTGGCTTTGAACATGATCCTCAGATCTCAGCCTCCTGAGTAGCTAGGATTACAAGTGTGAGCCACTGACACCCTGCTCCCGGCTTTTTGTTGTTGGTTGTGGGGCTTGAACTCAGAGCTTGGGTGCTATCCTTGAGCCTGTTTGTGCTCAAGGCTAGTGCTCTACCACTAGAGATACATTTTTTGTGTGTGGTTGTTTTGTTTAGGATTTGTTTTTAGTATATCATACTGTTATAATAAAAAGAAATGAAGACGAGAAACATTTTCCCATACCAGTAATGGGAGCAAAAGACTTCTCAAAGCTGGGGGCTGGTGGCTCACGCCTGTAATCCTAGCTACTCAGGAGGCTGAGATCTGAGGATCTCGGTTCAAAGCCAACCTGGGCAGGAAAGTCTGTGAGACTCTTATCTCCAATAAACCACTAGAAAACCAGAAGTGGCACTGTGGCTCAAGCGGTAGAGTGCTTGTCTTGAGCTGAAGAGCACAGGGACAGTGCCCAGGCCCAGAGTTCAGGCCCCACAACCAACCAAAAACAAAAAAAGACTTCCCAAAGTTTTTTTCTTTTCCCAGTCCTGTGCCTTGAACTCAGCCTGGGCTCTGTCCCTGAGTTTCTATTGGCTCAAGGCTAGCACTATACCACTTGAGCCACAGCACCACTTCTGGCTTTTTCTGCGTGGTTTATTGGAGATAAGAGTGTCAGACTTTACTGCCCAGGCTGGCTTCAAACCATAATCTTCAAATTTCAGCCTTTTGAGTAGCTACGATTATAGGCATAGACTACCAGTGCCTGGCTCTTAAGACTTTGAAGAAGCTGGACGCCAATGGCTTACACCTGTACTCCTAGCTACTCAGGAGGCTGAGATCTGAAAATCACGGTTCGAAGCCAGCCTGGGCAGGAAAGTCCATGAGACTCATCTCCAATTAACCACTAAAACACCGGAAGTGGCGCTGTGGCTCAAGCAGTAGAGTGCTAGCCTTGAGCTGAAGAGCTGAGGGACAGAGTTCAAGCCCCACAACCGACAGAAAAAAGACTGTGGAAGCTGGGTGCTGGTGGCTCACACCTGTAATCCTAGCTACTCAGAAGGCTGAGATCTGAAGATCATGGTTTGAAGCTGGCCTGGACAAGAAAGTCTGTGAGACTTAATCTCTAATTAATCACCAGAAGGCCAGAAATAGAGCTGTGGCTCAGACTGGTAAGTGTGCCAGCCTTGAGTATAAAAGCTAAGGAACAATGCCTAAGACCTGTAGGGTACCAGAATTGGTACCCCCAAAAAAAGTCAACATAGTTACAAGTTAAGAAGTAGACAGCTGGGCACTGATGGCTCATGCCTGTAATCCTAGCTACTCAAGAGGCTGAGATCTGAGGATCACGGTTCAAAGCCAGCTTGGGCAGGAAACTCTGAGACTCATCTCCAATAAGCCACTAGAAACCGGAAGTGGTGCTGTGGCTCAATTGGTAGAATGCTCGCCTTGCGCTGAAGAGCAAAGGGACAGCACCCATGCCTAGAGTTCAAGCCCCGCAACCAACAACAATAAAAAGAAGTAGAGTCAAAGAAGTTATGTGACAGTCATCACAAGGTCCTCAGGCATTCTAAACACTAACCCCAGCTTTATGTTTTGTAGTCTATAACCCAGACCATAAACTTATTCATGGTCCAAAGTAAAGCTCTAGTTCCCTCATCTATTTCAAAGACTGGATAAAGGGCAGAAAACAAGTCATCTTTGAGGAACTTTCCTCAAAAGTTAGCCTATGGCTCTTCTGACTTGTATTTTACTTTGGCTAATAACTAGTTGTTTGGGAACCATGTGATTTCAAAGAGCATGCTGTCAAGCATGAGCAACCAGGCATGGTGGAGCATGCTTTAATCCTAGCACTTGGGAGACAAGCAGGATAGTGAGTTCAAGGCCAAATTATGCTATATAGTGAGACCCTGTCCCAAATAAAATTTAAAAGGCAGAATGATTCTATGATTACCCTTCTTGATCTTATGTAGGAGGAAAGAATATAATAAGGTGAAAGTTACAGGGCTAGGAATGTGCCTTACTGATAGAGTGCTTGCCTAGCATACATACTGATCCTCAGTACCACATAAACAGAAAAAGCCAGAAGTGGCACTGTGGCTCAAGGAGAGTGCTAGCCTTGAGCAAAAGAAATTCAAGGACAGGCCCTGAGTTCAAGCCCCAGGGGAAAAAAGTCATCATTCCAAGAGAATTCATTTGCTTTTTTTCTTTTTCTTTTTTGGTCAGTCGTGGGGCTTGAACTCTGGGCCTGGCGCTGTCCCTCAGCTCTTCAGCTCAAGGCAAGTATTCTACCACTTGAGCTGCCATGCCTCTTCCAGTTTTCAGGTGGTTAATTGGAATGAGAGTCTCATGGACTTTCCTGCCTGGCTGGCTTTGAGCCTCAAACCTCAGATCTCAGCCTTCTGAATAGCTAGGATTACAGGGGTGAGCCACTGGCACCCAGCATTCATTTGCTTTTCAAATATTTTTTTTTTTTTTTTTTTGGTCGTGGGGCTTGAACTCTGGGCCTGGGTGCTGTCCCTCAGCTCTTTAGCTCAAGGCGAACGCTCTACCACTTGAGCTACAGCGCCACTTCCGGTTTTCTGGTGGTTTACTGGAAATAGGAGTCTCACGGTCTCTCCTGCCCGGGCTGGCTTTGAACCATGATCCTCAGATCTCAGCCTCCTGAGTAGCTAGGATTACAGGCGTGAGCCACCAGCGCCCGGCTTGCTTTTCAAATTTTTTTAATTTTTGCAATAATGGGTTTTGAACTCAAGGGCTCGCACTTACTACACAGGTTTATAACTTGAAACACAATCTGAGTCCTTTATGCCCAAATCACTGCAGTTACACATCCACTTAGCTGGGACAATGACCCGTCCAGCAGGTTCAGTTATTCGTTAGGCTCGAGGAGGCACCTCCTAAAAACCAATGGGGGTGAGAGAGAAACGAGACCAAGCGCATAAAGAAAGACAGTCAGTCTGAGTCGCGTCAAGGTCTGCTTTATTAAAGTGAGGCAGGGTTTATATACCCGAAAGGACAGGGGAAGGGAAAGAATGAAAAAACTTTGCAGAAGCAAGAGTGAGAAGTCCCGGGGTCGGGGATGGGTCATGCTTCTCCTTTGGCCGTTGTGCTAGTCTTAAAGGTACCTCCTGTAGTTTCTCTAAGAGACATTTATGGTTAGCCAGGCGCCGCTTGCTTAGGGCTGGAGATAAGAGAAATGTTTATGGTTAGTCAAATGTTGTCTGCTTAGGGCTGGAGGAATATTTATGGTTAACCAAATGTAGTTTGTTTAGGGCTGGAGGAATCTTATCTTTCCATACACTTTCTTGGCTCCCAACAGGACAATTGGCATGTACCACCACCATACCTTGCCCAGTTTTGAATGCTTGGGATGGAATTTGGCAAACTTTTGTCTACGCTGGTCTCAGACCTTGCTCTTCCCAATCTCTGCCTCACTTGTAGTATAGCTAGGATTACATTTGTACTTTTGTGGTTTGCATGGTAACCATTTTTTGTGCTTAGAAAAGATTATAAAAGCTGGGTATTGATGTCTCATGCCTGTAATTTGGTCTATTCAGGAGGCTGAAATCTGAAGGTCAAAGTTCAAAGCCAGCCTGGGCAGGAGTTCATGAGACTTATTTCCAATTAACTATCATTAAACCAGGAGTAGTGCTGTGCTGAAAGTGGTAGTGCGCTAGACGTGAGCAAAAGAGCTCAGGGACAGTGCCCAGGTTCTGAGTTCAAGCCCCACAACAAAAAAAAGTTACAAGCTTTGTCTAAACTTCACCATCATAGAATGACTTTATATGACACTTAGTCTTCTATGAGATTATGTTCAACAAGAGTACCATAGCCTATCCATATCAGACCAGCTGTTGGCAACACAAAAGCTGTTAATGTAGGACTATGTCCTAGTTGTCAAGAACTATTTTTCTCAAAAATAAAATGGATTGGGCTGGGAAGGTGGCTCAGTGGTAGAGTGCTTGCTTTGCACGCATGCGGCCCTGGATTCCATTCCTCAGCACCACATAAGCAGAAAAAGCCAGAAGTGGTGCTGTGGCTCAAGTAGTAGAACTAGCCTTGAGCTGAAGAGCTGAGGGACAGAGCCTGGGCCCAGAGTTCAGGCCCCACAACCAACCAAAAAAAAAAATAAGTAAATAAATAAAATGGACAAATACAAGTTGTGATGAGTGATGTGAAAGAAATAAATGGCCCAAGGGGCTACCTAAAACACAGTCTAACTGGGAATCCAGGGCAGCAGAAAGAGCCCAGAACTTGGCCTTGAGGAACTCTGACATTTAGTGGCTTGGTTAAATCAAATGCAATACTGCCACCAACAACAACAAACATAAAAGAGAGACAGCGAGAGATCTCTGAATGGAACTGTCTGCCTGCTCTTTGTGAGTTCCATGCTGACCTCTATAAGCATTGTCTTACTTAAGCCTTGCATTCATTCACTGTGCTTATTACTGCATATTTTACTGCCAACTCAAGAGCAGGCACTGTTTTAGGGACTGGAAATCTATCTGTGAAAGGACAAAAACCTACCATGTGGAGTTTACATTGTTTTCAGCATAAGAGATAAAAGTGTAGTAAAATTTTAAGTAATAAGTATGTGGAAGAAAATGTGAAGGAAGTATGTTTAATTGTAACCCCCTTGTAAAACCTATTGAAGTTCAGAAAATAGAAGAAAATAGCCAAACGCTACAGAGTGACAGGTAGAAAAGATAAAACTGACATTAAAATAGGTAACGTCGACAGAGACTTAAATGAAGTAAATTCATTCCATGCATAGGGAATACTTAAGGGCAAAGGTCTTTTGAGGCAGGGATGAGTTTTGAAATAAAAATAGAGAGCCAGTGTGGCTAGATTGTAGGAAATGAGATCATGAAGTTCAGCAAATTGGGCCTGGTGGTACATTCCTGTAATACCAGTACTTGAAAAACTGAATCAGGAGGCTATATAGTTCAAAGCAGCCTAACCTGTAATCACCAGTTACTAAAAAGGCAGAGATAGGAGCACACCATTGTCCATGGGCAAAAGAACTGAGATAGGCAGATAAAGCATGATCATGGTTGTTTTAGCCTCTGGTAAGATTGACCCACTGATCTGCCCTGTCTGAGGACTTCTCCACCTAATGACCATCAAAAAGTACCAACACATGTCCCACACAGGCCAGCAAAAGAAAATTTCCCTTAATAGCACATGTGCAGTACTGCACTTAGCTGTCCTTAAGTAAACTTGCAGTAGAAACTCCTAATATGCCTATGTTTGTGCCTGGAATAAAATTAATATCATTATGACAGAATGCACTGTGGGAATGGCCATACATAATTTAAAACGGTTATGTAACCACCTCCTGCCACTCCAAACTGTCAATTATGAAGAACCTCAGTTTTGCTCAATTCTTTGAGATGCTGAGAATGTGGGATGACACTTAACTGCGCCACCATCCTGTAACAGCACATGATACTGCCTAAAAAATTGAAAACTGTAGGCATGACTCAAGTGGTAGAATAGATGTCTATCAAATACAAGGCTCTAGCCGGGCACTGGTGGCTCACGCCTGTAATCCTAGCTAGTCAGGAGACTGAAATCTGAGGATCTTGGTTCAAAGCCAGCCCAGGCAGGAAACTCCGTGAGACTCATCTCCAATAAACCACTGGAAAACTGGAAGTGGTACCATGGCTCAAGCGGTAGAGCACTCGCCTTGAGCTGAAGAGCTGAGGGATAGCACCCAAGCCCAGAGTTCAAGACCCATGACTGACAAAAAATAAACAAAAATACAAGGTACTACGTTCAAATCCCACTGTCAAACAAACCCTGGTACTAACAAAATTAAAATAGGAATCATTTCATTCAGAGCCCTATTTGCTCTGGTAAATTTTTGGGCTTTATTCTGAATATTTTGAGCAAATGATTTTTATTTTGTTGATTTAGGCAAGGTTTTGTGGGGTTTTTTTAATATGGCTCAGAGTTACAGCACCTTCCTAACAGACCACGGGGTCTCAGCACCACCAAAAATAAATCTAATTGGTATTGGGTATTACTTGCTCACATCTGTAATCCTAGTCACTCTGGAGGCTAAGCTCTGAGGATCATGGTTCAAAGCCAGCCCAAGCAAGAAAGTTTAACTCTGATCTTCAATTAACCACCAGAAAACCTGAAGTAGCAGGGCTTCATGCATGCAAGGCAAGCACTCTACCACTGAGCCACCTTCCTAGCCCCATGTCCCTGAGCTTTTTTGCTTTGCCTTGAGCAAAACTCTACCACTTTGAGCCACAGAGCCACTTCTGGTTTTCTAGTGATTAACTGGAGCTAATACTGGAGCTAAGAGTCTCACAAACTTTCTTCCCCAACTGGCTTTGAACTGTGATCCTCAGAGCTAAGCTTCCTGAGTAGCTAGAATTACAGGTGTATGCCACCAGTACCCAGAGGCAGCTGCTTCTTCCTCCTCCTCCTCTCCTTTTTCTTTTTCCTCTTCCTCTCCTTTTTCTTCTTCTTCCTCTTCTTTACTACTATCATACTGGTGCCACCATCACCTCCTAATAGGTTTCTACTCTGCCCCTCTTGTGTAATCTCCAGCTCCTATCTACTCTTAGCACTTCCCCCAGAACCATCCTTTGAATGTGTAGGTTGTGTGATGTCACTGCATTTTAGTTCAGAGAAGAAGCTGACCTAAAAGACATGTGAGCACAGACTCTGCTTAACTTCCCTTCTCACCTTTCCAAGAAACTCTTGCTTACTCATACCATTTTCACCACACTGACCCCCTTGCTGTTTGGTCCTTAAAATACACTAGGTAGTCCTTGTTATAGGGCATCACTGTGCTAGGAAGTCTCTTTCCAAGAAATGATTGTGGCCAGAATGCTTCCTGTCTTCAAGGGTTTGCTTAGATTTCACATCACTGAAACCTATAAGCAGTCTAGTATTACAAGCTGCTACTATGATCAGTGTAGTATTACACCCTGATACTTTTTAATCATTCTTTATATATTTTTTTGTTGGTTGTGGGACCTGATCTCTGGGCCTGGGCACTGTCCCTCAGCTCCTCAGCTCAAGGCTAAAACTCTACCACTTGAGCCACAGAGCTACTTCTGGCTTTTTCTGCTTATGTGGTACTGAAGAATAGAACCCCAGACCTCATGCATGCAAGGCAAGCACTTTACCACTGAACCACCTTCCTAGCCCTCTCTATACTTTAATTTTGGCCAGTCCTGGGGCTTGAACTCAGGGCCTGGGAACTGTCCCTGAGCTGCTTTTGTTCAAGGCTAGTACTCTGCCACTTAAGCCACTGTACCACTTCTGAGTTTTTCTGTTTATGTGGTACCAATGAATTGAACCCAAAGCTTCATGCATGCTAGGCAAGCACTCTACTACTAAGCCACATTCCCAGCCTTTGCTATACTTTTTTAGGGTGACAGTATCTACGAAGCATTGTACTCACCATCTGATTTAAGAAATTGTAACCCCTTTGTACAACTCCTTAATAACAATTTAATTAATTAGTTAATTTAAAAATTGAGTATGTAGCCTAGGCTGGCCTTGAACTCAAGATCCTTTCCTCTATGCCATCACACCCAGATTGATCTATAGTCTCTAGCGTTAATCAGAAATGTAGGAATCTTTATTTTATCAATGGTATTCTAAGCGCCTAGAACAATGCCTAAACATACTCAATAAATACATGTTTTGAGTGGATGGGTGAATAAATGAGGCACATATGGATTGCTGATGGATTGTTTAGAGGAGAAAGAATGGAGAAAGGATAACCTTGCATTGTGGGCAGAAGGAACTAGTAATTTCTTGACATGGATAGAGCTCTATTTTGCATGTGCTATTTAGAGATCTCAGAAATGCTGTCCAGGAAACATTTGGAGTCATTAGCCTGGAGGACAGACATGACAGTTGAGGCTCATAAGGAAAATTTAGAAATCCTCATCAGTTATAGAATGATAGCTAAAGCCATGGGATGTAGGTGATAAGTCTAGAAAAAAGAAAGTCAGACCAGCTGGTAGCTCATGCCTGTAATCCTAGCTACTAGCTGAGGTCTGAAGCCAGCCTAGGCAGGAAAGACTGTAAGACTCTGATCTCCATTAATCATTCAAAAGCCAGAAGTGGGGTTGTAGCTCAAGTGGTAGAGTGCCAATCGTCCTAGGTCCTTCAAGCCCTGGAGGAGGAGGAGGAGGAGGAGGAGGAGGGAGATGGAGGAGGGGGAAGGGGGGATGGGGAGGGGGAGGAGGTGGGAAGGAGAAGTTGTTCAAAGATTGAGCTTTCAAGCATATAAAGGAGCAGAAACCACTAAGAGTGTAAAAGGACCAGCCTTTGAAGAAAACATAAAAGAAGTGATCAAATGTATATCAAATATTGGGAAAGTAAAATATAGTCAAGAGACTTGGTTCCTGATCTGTTGACTTTGGAATGGCTGAAGCAATGGTAGGGACAGAAACAAAAGCATGATTGTGGGCTAAACAGGAATAGGAGATGGCAGGACTATGGGAAAGCCTTGCTTAAGTTTCTACATCTATTGTTAAGTCGTAGAGTTTAAATTGCACCCATGTCTCTAATGAGGCCAACAGGTATCAACACTTACCAGTTTACATCTTGCAGTTCGTTGCTTGTCATTTTATTTTGTGAGTTTATTTGTAAGCCAAACTGCCCACATACACACACCCCAAATAAAGGTTTTAGGCATGGCGGAAGAAACAGAGCATCTGCTTAACAAGGGTGTGTTCAATCCTAGTATCGCCAAAAAGAAAGATAAAAGTATGCCTCAATTTACTTCGTACTATCCAAAACTTATTTTCATTCCCTGAGTCCCACCGTAGCGTCTTGGAGTCACCAGGTCACGCTTCCCAGACAATAATAAAAGCTACACCAACGCCAAGAGAAACGTCAGGCCACGCCCCTTCGCTTCAGGCCACGCCCTCCGGTGGGAACCCACGCCCCCTCCATGACTTGCGAAACGCGCGCACGTGGGAGCCTAGGAGCAAAGACAGTGGCAGAAGCGCCTGCGCCTGCTTGGTGAGCCCGCCCCTTTCAGGACTGCACGCCGCCGGAAGCGGAAATAGCGCCGGGGCGCCGCCAAAGTATCCCTAACTGCCAGCGCGATGCCGAAAGGGCCCAAGCAGCAGCCGCCGGAACCGGAGTGGATTGGGGACGGAGAGAGCACAAGTCCCACGGGTGAGGATGATGGGCAGAGGGGAAACGGGAGAGGAGGAAGAAAGAACAGTGAGAAGCCCTTGAGAGAAGGGCGTGGGGCGCCTGACCGGCCAGGCCCTTACGGGGGTCACTGCGCATGTGTGCCGTGGGTGAAGAGTTCGCCCCGGCCGGAGAGAGGTTTAGAGTCAGGAGAGGAAGTGTCCGGGTGTTGCACCCGAGCCTCACTGGTGTGGAAGGAGCGCCTACGAAAGCATATGGTAGCGAGGAGAGCTGGGATGACAGGAGAGTCCTCTTTTCTGTCATTTCGTACGGCGTTCCGGCCACGGTGTCTCACAAGGAGGTTAGCATAAGTGATATCACTTGTGTCTCAAGAGAAGCTAGCTCTGTATGACATCCCATTCACTCATCTGCAAGTGTAAATGCTGAGGGTTTGAATGAGGGTTTATTTTTATTTTTTTGTGGTTTTGGGCGTTGAACTCATGCAAGTCAGACCCCCCCACCACGCCTCCAGTCCAAGTTTATTTGAATGTTTATTGAGCACCCTTTTTAAAATAGATATTGAATTATACTGGGCTTTTGAGAGTGGGAAGAAAAAAAAAGTATGAAGATACCTTCGCAGGCTTGACGTCATTTGTCATTTCAAGAGGGGGACAAAATAGACACAAAAAACTACCAGTGACATGACTAATTTTACAAGCATTTATTGGATGTCTCCTGTAAGTACTGTGCAAGAGAAACTGGCAGCCTATATTTTCTTTGGCTTTTTTGTTGCGGGAAGCTTAAAAGATGTTCTACAGAGGAGGATCTTAGAAGTACAGAAGAGACTTGAAGAATGTGTGGGCCTGTTGCTAGTCCTTGGTGAGAAATGGATTAGTCTCAGGGTTGTCAGAGTAAGCTGAACTTTCATTCATCCAAATTTATTTCACCATTAATCTTGTGCATCTTTCCAGTCCCATTACTGGTAGTCACCCAATAAATACTAGAATCAGATTTTGAAAAGAATTCAGGGTGGACACAGAAAGCATGCCTAGGATTTTTTTTTTGGGTCCGGTTGTGGGGCCTGCATTCTGGGCCTGGGCACTGTCCCTCAGCTCTTCAGCTCAAGGCTAGCTCTCTACCACTTGAGCCACAGCGCCACTTCCAGCTTTTTTCTTTTTGCTTATGTGGTGCTGAGGAATCGAACCCAGGGCCTCAGGCATGCAAGGCAAGCGC